GTAAAAACACCAATGACCGCCGCCCATTTTAGATCGGGAACTAAAGTATGAAAGCGGGCAGGTATGTAAGAATACGCTTTTGCAAAAATATAGCGGTAGTTATAGAGCGGTTGGGGTGATTACCCCTTCTCTAAGGAGGCGCCGGGGCCAGGAAGTGGGGTGCAAGTAGCAGGGTGTTTCTGCGTCGGGAGGGGTCTCCTAAAAACGGTTAAGTAGCTACCCCCACAACCCTCTATAACTATTTTATGTGGTCCCCTTAGAAAGACAGCGGAGATGGGGCTACGCGATACCGCCATAGGCGTAGTCGGAACGGGGGAAGATGAAATTTTAATATGTCTAGTCTGTTAAGAATTCATGGTGGATTTATAATTAAATGCCTAATTAGGGGGTATTGCGTTGTTTTCGTACGCGCTTCGTTGTCTGAATATTAATGTAATATTCATTTATTTTATAGTGAATTTCGCGTTTGGTTTTGTCTTCCGCTTTGTGATTTTGGTGTGAACAAGCAATGTTTTATTTTGAATTTATAGTAACTAGAGGAATTGTTCGTATTAAAATTATATTTATTTCCTATATTTTCACGCATACCACTCATTAAATATGACACTGTTACGGCGAGTTTAAAAATTTATTTTTAATACTTTATACATATCTACGTTTCGGAACCTTTACATAGTATAAAACAAATACTTAGTTTATTATTAATAGAATTATTAATAAGCTTCTAATGAGGATCTTTTGAAATAAGATAAACAAATACTCAAAATTAAAATATCAAGTGTAATACAATTTTTATTCAATTACTTGACTTATATAAGCAAGTATACTTTATCTAACTTAATATATGGGTGGTAGAGCATCAGTAAACATACCGATCTGAATGATAATATCACTGATAACAAAAATTATAAATGGCATATTTGACAGATCGCTTACCCCACCTTCAATAATCTCTGGAATCTTTTTACTGACATCATTAGCAACCGACTGTCTTAGTAACAATTTAGCAGCTGGCGCATTCCACGTATCTTTTTCACTCCCTGACTAACATGAGAGATTTTAACAATTATATGAATATAACACAGGCCTACAAAAATTTTTTTTTGGTGTAGCCTTTTTTGTATTATTGGTCGATAAGGTAAGTAATACACAGTGTATTGATATGCGTCATTTCAATTCATCAGCTCTAGTTTACCTACTACTCTCATATTTTTTTTTTCGATCTTGTTCGTAAACAATCGTTCTGACATCGTTAAGTGTATCTTTTTATTTCTAAATAAATATGGCTAGTACGTTCAGATGTTGTGTAAACAATCCTGATATGTTTTGTTATGTTTGCGCTGAATACATATTAAAAAATCCGCTAAAACCGATAACAAACACTGTGATTAACTTGTATTTTGCTGATTTCGGCATTGAAATTTTATATCAGGTGTGGGTGCCTCATAGTGTATGCAAAATATGCATTGAACATTTTGCGACAATGGAAAAAAGGGACCCGAAAATCTTTGAAGTTTGTTGTGTCTTCTCTAGACAGAAACGAGCAATGTTTTCAGTTTACCTATATGTCAGAAATTTCCAGGATTAAGTTCTGAGAAAATGAAAGCAGGCATTTTTGATGGACCTCAAATATGTCAATTAATTAAAGACAAAACGGCCGCTGGCAGTTATCGGAAGCAGACGTATACACAAGTTAACGCAAAATCATTTTAAATTTAAAAACAAGAGGTATACCGCATATTGTAAAAATAAAAAAAAATAAGAGTAAATTAAAAGAGTATATCACACTTAACTTTAAAATTGTATAATAGGGAAATCCTAACAATATTGTTTTCACAAAGCTGTACAATAAGCACAATAATGTAATTGTTTGTATACTAAACCGATACTGCAGAAGCGGTCACAAAGTAATATTAGAATGTGAAAATTGTAAATCTCATTATAAGTAAACTGTATGTTTTTATGAGAAATAAACTCTTTGCACCTAAAGAGACTATTAATTTTGAGGCTATTATGACCGATGTCGAACGATTTGCGTGGAAATCTTTTGTAGCGGTTACACAAAAATTCTTCGGAAATCACATGGCTGACAACTATATTTAATTAGTTGAGGAGATGCTACTTAATTTTTAAAATTTAGCCTGTGACATGAGTATTAAAATGCACTACCTCCATAGTCATATAAATAACTTTCAGCATAATTTAGGAGATTTTAACGAAGAACAAGGAGAACTTTTCCACCAAGATATAAAAACGATGGAGAAGAGATATCAAAGCAGATGGGTCATTCACATCATCATTAGCCTATTAATGGCCCCACTGCTGGGGCACAGGCCTTCCCTATGGATGGAATAGGGAGACTGGGTCATGACCCACCACGCGGGCCCAGTGCGGATTGGTGGGTGTTAACGGCTGCAGATGCAGCCGGGACCAACGTCTTAACGTGCCTTCCGAAGCACGGAGGAGCTTGAGATAGTAAATTTTTGGTCACCCATCCAATGACCGACCACAGCGACAGTTGCTTAACTTCAACGATCGCAGCCGAACGCGCTAACCACCTGCGCCATCGAGCTCCTCGACATTCACATGATGGATATTTATTGCTGGGGACTTATGCTTGATTGCCCAAGACAATTTCATCCGCGAAAATCACTGAAAAGACAATTTCTAGACGTTTGATGTCAAAATCAATTCTTTATCTAAAAATTAAATAGGTGGTTAATTATCAAATTAATACTGAAATACAGTCGAATCAATACAGCCTAGTAAATGCGAAATGCAGCAAATTATCCGGTTGGTTTTTAGGCAGTATTATTTTAACTGTTTGGTTTACTGAATTTGGTGTTTTTTTAAACTATCATGAAAACAACTCAATCCTACTAATCCTAATCCAAATAATATTATAAATGAGAAAGTTTGTATAATCAATCACGCAAAAACTTCTAAACAGATTCGGATAAAATTTGGTACGCATATAGTTTATGATCTGGATTGAGACACAGGATACTTTTTAGCCCGGTAAAATGTAAGATTCCTGTGGGATTCTCAAAAGACTACAGTTAATGAACGTACGAAGTCACAGGCGGTTGCTAGTGATAATATATTTTCAAGAGTACATATGCAAATAAATGTTTAATTTTTATAATATATAATTATAATAACATATAATAAATATAATATATAATAAGAAATAATAGAAGTGAAGTATTTAAATTTTATACACTAGGTAGTTTTTAAGTTGTGGTTATTTTATTCTCTATATATTGTAATACTGTAAGAAAACAAAGTGATCAAAAATATTATAGTATATAATAAATTTAATATAGGAAATGTATAATAAAAAATACATTAAAACTATATCCAAACCGCACTTATCGTTTTTAACTTAAACCAAAGCTCACTGCATTATCAAAACACCAATAAACAACTTAACACACGACACAAACACAAATAAACTATCAGAATAAACTTAAAGTTCCCCACGAATACCCGAAGACGACTGACCATAGACATAATATCATTAAAGGGTCCACAAAATACACCTGTGTATCGAAATTACAGGTTCTTTGAGGGTAACAACTATCTTTGTAAGACGGCCTTTATTGATAAGAACTGGTTCAAGAGTACGTGAGAATATTTTTTTTGTGATTTCTTGTGAATACCCGTTCTCGAAGGAAAGCGTTTTTTGTGATGTAGAAAAAAAAAATACGTTTTTTTAGAGAAAAAGTATTGATTCGGTTTTGGCGAAGGTACTTGGTATATCACGTTTGGTATTTGAGGTAGTATTACGGAGATCGAAAATTACTTATATTTATAAATACTCCCAAGTCTCCTGTCCATAGGTGCGTAATAACGCACAGATAATAAATATTTGGTCGATAATATCGGATGCGTTATTATTTATCGCGATATTTTGTTATACTAATATCGCGATGTTATTAGACACAGCAGTGTTTAACCTCGTAGCCGTTATCATATTTTATATAATATACCAAAGACAAAATAAGGAGCTCGATGGCGCGGGTAGTTAGCGCGTTCGGCTGCGATCGTTGAAGTTAAGCAACTTTCGCAGTAGACGGTCATTGGATGGGTGACCAAAAACCTTTTATCTCGAGTTCTTCGGTGCTTCGGAAGGCATGTTAAGTCGTTGGTCCCGGCTGCATCTGCAGTCGTTAGCACCCGCCAATCCGTGGCCGCGTCTCCCTATTCCATCCATAGGAAAGGCCTGTGCCCCAGCAGTGGGGACATTAAAAGGCTGATAATAATGATGATAAAAAAGTCAAATATCGCAAAAACGCATAAGATATTATCAACCGATTATAACGCGCCTATGTGCGGTTTAAATGACAAATCGTTACGACTTAGTAATTTACTTAAATTAAGGTCAACGTAGCGTAATTGGCAGGTGACATTTTTTCGAGTAAAAAAATCTTTACCTTTTCTCTTTTTGTGAATGGACTCAGAGACGTAATTTTCAAATTTTGATAAAGTTGTTAAAATCTTTGACTGTCATGATAGAATAAGACAACATGTCCGTCTGCCAAGCATTAAAATTATTCGATGCCTCTAAGCGCAGCCGTTATAAGTCGTTTTTAAAGACGAAATATTGTGTAAAAAAATGTTAATAATCACATAAAAACTGCAATTGGTACCCTAAAGTTTCTATAGGTTAGGTTACCCTTGTATTTTTTTCAGGATCAATTATTATTTTTGTAAGATCATTTAAATACGTGTACTTTTAAAATAGAAATCATATTTCTATTTGTACTACTTCCGTTAGACAAATCGTTACTAAAATAACATTTTTCTGAAAGTCCACCCTTTCGTAACAAATTCTCATGACCCCAAGATTCTCAGGACCTTTGCCTTAAACTGGTATTCTTACAAACCACCGTGGAAGTACGTATCTCGATAAAAGCGTTCATACACAATCATCACGCAATTGTGAAGGAACTTGTCTTCGAGTAAACTAGTCTATCGCCCCGAATTTCCCTCCCGATCTAACAGGTTGGTCGTGAAATGTTCCAAAATCCGTTTTCCCACACAACCGTATTGTGGCCGATCTCTTTTTCTAAACCTGTCGCTTTGAAAGGGCCGGTGGAGACGAGTCGAGGCGGACTTGATTACAAACAAAACTAGATACAATAACATTGTTCAAACCGGTTTGATGGCTGATCCGAAAGTAACTTTAAGAAGGGCATGCGATTTTTAGGTGGACATCTTATTGTAACCGTTATAGAAAAATAATAAGAAACTAGCCAAGTGCTAGTCGGACTCGCAAACGAATTCAGTACTTTAAGTAAGTAAAATATTTAATACTAGCGGCCGCCCGCGACTTAGCACGCGCGGAGTTAGTTATTTGTATGCTTTAGGCTTTAAATTAACTTTTTTGCAGTGATGTTGGTACGATGTGTGCGAAATTGTGTCTGGTATTTTAACTATCCTATATCATTAAATAAAACTAGTTTTTACGGGTTAATGCACGAAACTTTATTTATTTATGACGTTTCGTAGTCTTTACAGGCTTCGTCGTCAGAATAAAACTTTTATTTAAATAAAAGTTTTATTTTTAATTTAATTTTGAATTTAATAAAAGTTTCGTGCATTAACCCGTAAAAACTAGTTTTATTTAATGAGTGAGGTGCGTGAAAACCTAAGAAACAAATATATCCTATATCATGATTTATTGGTTTGTAGTGTCCAGGTAGGTTTAATATTGTAATTTTAATAGATTTGTATCTGTGTTAACCTACCTTCTAATGTGAGCATAAAAATTCAAATATTATATTTTAGTCTTTATTTTCATTTTTTGGTAAAATTTAGTATTGGTTTGTTATAATATTGATAACAAGCACTCGGAAATATTTTTTTGTTTTGAAATTACCTTCGACGGCTTGTGAATTGTGGATATTTTTGTCTCATTTTAATTTTCCTCTCTAGTAATAATACAGTTTGTATATATTACAACAGTTTGTATACGGGAATGGGCGTTAATTCTGCAACACAGTTTTTGTAAAACTATAGCAGATTTAACGATTCCTAATTTTATGTACACTGCACTTGTTCCAAATAAAGTTATTATTATTATTATTGAGCGTGATAATATATATATATATATGTTGACCCGACTTCTAAATAATATTCGTGCTAAATTTGAAGTAAATCCATGCGGTACTTTCTGAGTTTATCCCGGACATACATACAGACAAACAGACAAAAATTCTAAAAACTATATTTTTGACTTCGGTATCGATTGTAGATTACACCACAAGTATTCTTTTAAAAAAATATTTAATGTACAGTTTTGACTTTCCTACCATTTAATGTTATGTATAGACTAGTTCGAGAAAAACAAGTCCAAAAAATAAACTCATCAAAAAATCAGCGGTTTTGAAATTTTGATCGATTTTTTCTACCTATTGTAAAATATTTATTTTTATGAAAACAAAACACAATCATACAGTTTATTTTTTTCAAATCAGCTTATCAACTATTATTATCATTATCAACTACTGTTACACATATTATAGTTATATTTTTTTGTTTTAAGCATTTATCTGCTAAATGTTTAAAAATGAAAAGAAAATTTTATTAGAAAAATAACAAATATTTTTTGATATATGATATATTTGAAAAATTACTTGACACTATTTTAATATGTATATTTATGAAATAAAGTTTTCTATTACTATCAAAGTTTTTGGATAAATATAGATAAACACTATTACTTACTTCGTAATGCGAAGTATTTACATTAGTCAAGCTACGACCTCAAATTTGAAGAACCTTTTGTTTCAAAATGTCTAGACTACTAAATTTATATTCGCGTTCAATGTAAAAGTTACACTTCAAAGCGTCGAAATCAAATTAGATAAAATGCGGAGGGGAAGGAAGATTCCACAACAGAACAGGTATTAAGTAACAGACTACATATACGCAAGCAAGCAATAATATACATCCAGTTCATTAGTATAATACTTGGTACTTCGACCCCGAAATTCGTAAATTGAAACCGAATGTTGCGCGCCCCTGCGTGGCTGCTTATACTCATGTAAAAACCGAACGTCTAAGGCATAAGGTGGGGGTGGGCCGCGCTGGTGTACAGACTTGACTTTACCTGTGTGTGTGGGTGTGCCGTGTCCCTGTGTGCGCGCTTATATTTTCATTTCAATAGTTTTTGCACTGCATCGGTGTGGGTGCACGTGTGTGGGTTAATGCTGTATTGATTTAGCTACCACGGGCTTTAGTTTGCAAGAAATTTATAATCTCCGAGATAGGAGTTTTATGAGCGTAGGTGGAATGTTTTCTGCTCAGCAAATTTGTTATGGTGAAATTTCGGTTGTTAGAACATTTTCATTGAAACTGTTTTGAAACTATATTAAAAACATGATAAGAGGTTTTATTGATTAAAGAATATAACTGATATATTATCGATAAGACAAAATAATTTAATATTTAGGTATTGGAGGAAATCGATGATAATGTAAAATTAAATCTAAGCATAACTTCTGAGTCTGGAACTGAAGAACGTATAACGGATTTTCCGCTCGAATTGGAACACCAGACTGAGAAAGCAAGTTATATAAGATCATAAAGAAATAATTGTATACTTTTTGGTAGTGCTGTGATTCTGTCGATAAGTAGCGTTTCCCTCAGCCTTACCTATATATCTAGGTATATTATAGTATATTGTAACAAGGTAAATCCTATAGAGTTACTGGGGTAACGGCTTACTATAACACATAATGTTGCTGGCTGACCAACGAAGTAGTATAAAAAAAATAGAGTCATATTATTGTATTTTTATTTTAAGCATTTAACTGCTAGCTATTAAAATGTAATGATTTTTTTTCTAGAATAAAAAAGTTTTTCCTAATAATATTTTTGAAGTTATACTTCTTTAGGCGCGTTATGAAAAAATGATGAGAGTGAAATTTTAAGATGCGCGCGCATCACTGTAACACAAAAAATTAACAGCATGAAGTTCGTCGCTTTAGCGACCAACTTCATGCTGTTACTTTTGTGTTTACCGCACATTAAGAAAATCTACCAACAAAATAGAAATAGAATCTCTATTTTGTGGGTGCTAACGACTGCATTATGAAGGCCTATCAAAAGTATTTATTAATCTGGAACAACGGAACCAAAGCGCGATTCAGGAGACTACAGCGCCATCTCTTGACCATTGGTGTAGTAGAACTAAAAACCACTTCTTTATTTTTTGTAATAAAGTAACAGTTATAGGTATTCATATTTATAATATTTATCCACATGTTTCTAGTTTGTATATTCGGAATACGTGTTTGAGTTTCATACAAGTGCAAATCACATATGTTCTAATAAATTATATTCAGTAGCGATTTTAATTGAATATTTTGATTATTTATTTATTTTTTCAAATTAAAACTGAACTTTATTGACTGTGTCCTTTTCCAGACTTCTTATTAATTTATTGTAATTAATTATTTGCATGCAATTAAAAACTAATTTTAAACGATGCCAAAGAAGGATAACTTCTCACGCGCCTACATAAGTACACGCACCCATTTTTTTAATCAATATGATCCATACTGACTAAAAATAAGGAGTTTATTAGAATGAAAAGGATTAAGATCTATTGGACATGATAGAAATTTGCGAAACCAAATTGTCATGATTAGGTATAAAATGTAGTTGTTTTATAATCGTCCTAGGGGAGACTAGGTAAGTAAGTATGTCATTTAAACTGATGAAAAGAAATAAATAAAGCTTGAGTAAGTGTGTATATATGTTTGTTGAAAAGGTTTTATATAAATATACTTAAGTAACGTATTTTCATCATTGAGTTAATTGTTCGGTGTAGTGGATTTTGTGTGAGTATAATTCATTCTTATTACTATCACCAAAATTTTTTATTTCTTGATGATGTTATGTTTATGTGGAACTGTTATGTATACGGTATAGAGGCACTGGTTTATTTATTTATGACGTTTCGCATCCTTTTCAGGCTGCATCGTCAGAATTATGATTTTATTTTTGTAAAAAGTTTCAACGGTATAGATGCACTGTTTTTTTTATTTGTAAAAAGTTTCAACGGTGCAGATGACTTATTACTTGTTTTGATATTTATTTATGACGTTTCAGGCAGCCTGAAAAGGATGCGAAACGTCAAAAATAAATAAATCAGTGCATCTATACCGTTGAAATTCCTAAGAAACAAAGAGATTTTATGCTTGAATAATATCATCAATTAATCATACTACTTTACCAAACTATCACTACTATATTGAACCATTATGATAAACGACTCATAAATCAGAAGCAGATAACGATATTTTTATATAGGCTATGGTGTCGATTCTGACATGAATATCTAAACTTAAACTTAAATTTGACAACAGTGCATCCTTGTCATTCTCTATACAGAATAAGAAAAAGAGACTGATGTTAAATTTAGATTTAAATTTAGAGAATCATACCAGAATCGACACCAATAAAGATACCTATTACGGTAACCGTTCAAGCAATGTTGCCGACCCCTGCGCGCCAACGAACGGTGGAAAAAGCGAGCGTCTAAGGAGGCGCGCGGGGGAGGGCTCTTATATTTTAAGATGGCTTCCGAGCCGAGCGCGAATATCGACGCGGCCTCCCTCCCCCGCTCGCCCCCGCCGCGCCGCGTAAGTACGCGGGCGAATTTTGTGTTCGCGACTCGAATCGGAACGTCTTTGTGGAGACTTTTTTTTCTTTATACTCTTTCTTAAATTTTCTTGCTTATGAATAAACGAGGAATAAGCTTAGACTAGTTACGCCGTGTTTTGTTAATGTCACTCAAGTGCCAATTGTAATAGAAATATTTGTATTGTAATAGTATTGTAGAAGCATTTTTGCGGGCTGGCAAGGTGAGGATGGTTGGTGTAGCAGTTTATAACTGATGTACCAGCTATCTTCGCGTTAGGACTTTATCACCACTTAACATCAGGTGGGGTAGAGTCATTTACCTACCTAGTTATATAAAAAAAAATAGTGAACAGAGACAAAACATAGAGTAACTAATCCAAATTTATTCCTTGTTTATTAATAAAGAGGTTTGGAAGTAAAGGTACCTAGCCTCTATAGCAGGAGCACCTCGTTAAGATATATAAGCTATATAACGCGTTATTATTATCACGCTCAATTGTCAAATCACTATGGAGTTTGACAGTTAAACGCGATGAACAACGTGATATAATGTGAATAGGGTATTTGACAAGTTTAAGAAAACGATCTCACGTTATCGACTAATGTTTATGGAGTCCGTAAAAAGTGGATATTCATTATTCTGTTGTGTATTTCAGTAAAAATAACCAAATCAAAAACTCCATTTTCAAGTTGCCGCGAAAACGTTTCTCTGGACAATATGGCGTCTTACTAGTGTGTGACGCCCAAGTGACGCCACACGACTGTTATTAAAACGTCAAACGATACAATGTAATGTCACTTTTACCGGAAGTTTACTTGCGTGTGACATCATTTTAGGCTCCGCCAATCCCAAGCGTTTTGGGTCACGTGACAATAGACAAGAAAACTATTATATTTATCGTGGGTTTTTTTTAGTAATATTATGAATATTTTTTCTGTAAAAATAGTAAAAACTCCTGCCAATATTCATTCTAAATACAGATGCTAACAATTAGCACTTTATTTTTAATACTGTCAAATACCCTATTGTCAAATTACTCAAAGAGTACCTAAAAAGAGTTCGGTAAGTACCTACGCGTGCAAATTTTGTGCCGCGAAAATGCGAAATGGAAACGTCTTTTGAACCAGTCAAGCTACAGTAGGTACGTATAGAAGCTTCGATCGCTGAAAAGTTTTCTTTCGGCCACAATCACAACTGTAAATTCTAAGAAGCATTTTAAAGTTATGGAGAATAGGTTTTTTATTTCTAAGCAATGTCCAACCACAATCTTTTGTAAGTGAGACTTCTTTCGGACGGGGTGTAAATGGTAAAATCATATGGAAAAGATGAAACGGGAATGCGTCACGAGCGTCACACTACTATTTACGGTGTGTTTTGTGTGTGGGATGCATGTGGAATGCATGCGCAGCTCTTCCCGACGAGCATAAAAGTTGGAGGGTAACTCGGCGAAGGCTGAACAAACAGAATAAAATAAAAAAAATGAGGTTTAATCCAGAAGTAAGTAAATGTCAAATAGCTATCGTTTCCGGACACAAGCATATCAGGTATCTCGACATTATGCTGAAAAGGTTTATATAATAGGTTGGTGATACAATAATATTAAGCCGATTGACAGACCAGGAGTAAGTACATATAAAAAGCACGTAATGTATTATCTGCATAATTGTATAAGCAATATACCTAATAGCTTATTTTTCGCGACAGCTGAATGAGGAGTGTAAAGTTTACAGTTTATGTATGTATGTCCGCTCGTTTATGCCACTATAACCTTCAAAGGTCTGAATATATTTTTTAAATGTTCCCTGTGATCTTTTTTAAAGTAAAGCCACGGTGGAATTTACTTCCACAGTAAGGCGTTATAAATTGCCCAGAAAACTAAATCAAAATATAATAACCAATAACAATATACAATAACTTTAATCAAGTAAATCTTACAATAAAAACAAACCGTATTTTGATTATAAACTAAAATGATATAATAAGCAAATTATAATCTACCTATACTAAAAGACGTCTGAAAATATTCAACACAAAAATAATTATTTGTGCGTTTTAATCAAAGTCTTCTTCTTCGGAACCCACGTATCACGCTGACTTAAAGACAGTGAATCGTACAAAATTGAATCTATCAATTGTAACTCTTTACAAAACATTGGAAGCAAATTCCCTTCAATGAACAAGTTCACCAAACCTCGAGGCTTTCTATTCATATTTTGTTGATATATCAAAACGGTCAACAACTTTCTCAAAGTCAAATAACTCCAGTTATTGTAAGACAGGTTCAAATAACACAAACTGTTATTACCAAAACAATAAGTGTTAGTATCCTTTACATATGTATTGTCCTTGTTAAATGGATCCTTGAATGAGCCTACAGTTGCTTCGACCATAGCTTGGGCTTTGTCAAAAAATGCGTCTAAGTTACTTGCACTGTTTGATTCTTGTATGACTTTCATAGAAGCATCCAACTCCATCCTACTTTTCTTAGGGGCACTTTTCATTTTCTGTTTTGTGGCTCGTTTGTTACAATTGTTATCGCTATCATTTGAAAGCAATTCTTTCGCCAAACTCGTTACGCGATCACTCTTTTCTTTCAGAAATGAAATATGTCGGGATCTTGAGGCTATAAGCTCTGATAATGTAAGAGGAAACAAACATAAAGTGCCCAGTAAACAAGCTGTGCCTTGATCAGTGATCATATTATTCGATAGATTTAAGTAACTCAAGCGTCTGTTTGTTCTCAATGCATTGGCTAATGATGTGACTCCCACATCCGTGATCTTGTTTGATGATAAATTAAGTATTAATAATGATTTTGATGCAGGTAGAGGGTATGCTAAAGCATCAGCAATCAGTGCTACAACAACGTCATCTATACCACATCTGGACAAAGACAAGTTTCGGATCAAGTTGCTCTGCTCAAGCAGTAAATGATAGCTGGCATTTCTCAAATAAGTGCCGTCCAAGCATATATCCGTTATATTAGACAGTGGTAGAAACTTGCAGAGTTCGTACACGGTATATTTGTCGATGCCTCGATTTATAACGATGGTTGTTAAATAAACATGGAACTTGATTATCAGCCCTATCACTTTGAAGAGAATTCGCGGAATGGTTCCAGTTTTGTCGAATATTATTTTCACCACATTACCATTGTTGTCGTAAACAGCGTTGATGTACAAGATGTCGTTATTAGACGCATTCGAAGCTTTGTTGAAGTCTTCATCTAGCTCTGAACTGAATTCTACTTGAGACTGATCTTTGACTTTGTTCTTTGTTTTGGATTTAGATGGATCAGATGCTGTTGCACTAACGTATTCTTCTGAGAAGAAAAGTATGAACTTTTGTTGAAATATGCTATTATTATCTATTTTTAATAAATCATGTTTATAATAAACGCAAAAGTCCGTATTTAATAATGTATAAAGTTTTTATATTACAAATGGACAACAAGCAAAATTATCACGGTGATTAATTATTAGAAAAATGTTCTGAGCAGTAGCAATTTGTATGGAGAGTTGTCAAATCATGTTTTATTATGATGATTATTACAATAATTACTCACGTTGTTGTGTTCTATTGATGACTACCATCGTTTTGAGCTGCAGCTGATGACAAGCCCAGGGTACAAATATATCAAACTCTGTTGGGCTTGGCGGCTTCACGTCATCTTCAGCAAGATTTGTTTTATCCATTAAATGCAAAAACTTATATAAATACTCCAAATTAATTATGGTTAGAATACGCTTAGAAAAGTCTTACTTGACGAAAATAAAAAAGGAGGAAAATAAAATTGACAGAAGATATGATTTGAAGTTATTATCCCTTGAGTTTGACACAGAAAAGAGTATAATATATAATTTAGTACTGGTCAATCCCACCCTTGCTCTACACTATTGTACTCGCTAATTTACCAGAGGTTGAGCCACATACTACTCAGATACTACATACAGACTGCTTACTGCATTTTTTTTCTATACTTAGTATCTAATTAGTCTGTGGCTCAACTTTGGGTAACTTCGCGAGTAGTGTAATGGAAGTGGGTTCATGATATTGGTACAAGATAGAAGCGTACGGGACCAATACAAGTAAAATAGCTGTAATAAAGCTTTGCCGATCCTACGACTGTTTTTTTCCATATAATATTAGACTAAACTGCTATCCCAGTTGTTTAGCGTTAGTCTATTTCTCTTTTCGCTCCCAGTAAAGCACAGGAAACTGATATAAATTTAGAAAATTTACTAAGCCTCTAAATTAGCTTGAACTTGTTTCTCTAAAGAGTCCAATTATTATATATTTAATATTTTTTTCCTCCATTAATTTTATTCATAATGAAAAACATTTTATCATTTTTACCAGTAAGCTAGAGCAATGGAAAAGTGGTTGGGGAATAGTGAGCACACTTTGTAAAAGTTTCAAAAATAAAAATAAAATAAATGAAAGAATCAATCTAAGTAAAACTATTTATTAAAATTAAAATAAGTTTAATAATATTATACAAAATAAAATGACATTTAAAATCTTAAAAACGTTAACAAAAAGTTATTATCATTTCATATTAACTCCCACTTTGGCTGGTGATCGCTTCTTTGCTGCAGAAAACCTATTCCTTAGTGTCATAACACCGACTTGTATCATATTATCTATCTGTTCTAGCTCTCTACAAGATACTGGCATATAATTACCTTCAATAGTCACAGAAATCAAACCTTTGGGTGTGCGTCCCATTTCTCTTTGATATTTTAGAACAGTTAATAACTTCTTAAGAATTACGTAACTTAAATTATTGTACGCCAAATTTAAATTGCAAAGAGTATTATTGCCATTACAGTACATTATTCCATCTTCCTCTCTAGTGTTTTCCTTATCAAAAGGATCACAGAAAATTCCCAAAAGGTTTTCAGCCATATCGGCAGCTTTATCATACATAATCTTGTTAAGGTCAACGAGGCTCTTTGAAGTTGGCACAAATTTCAAAGAGTTTTCTCTTTCCCTCATTTTAGCAGATACTGGTGGTTTTATAGTTTTTCGCTTAGCCACGCGTTTTTCAAAGTCATTGGTTCGGAGAGTTTTTACAATACGCGCGATGTGTTCATTTTTTTCTTTTAAGTAAGTCATCTTTCGCGATCTGGATGCAAATATCTCGGAACATGTGAGAGGAAATTCCAGTAAAGAGTCGAACAAATACGTCGCTCCAATATCTGTGATTCTATTATCTGCTAAATTCAAATAGCTCAGTTGCCTATTGGTTCTCAAGGCTTCGGCCAAGTATTTTGCACCTTCATCTGTGATTTTATTCGTCGCTAAATTCAGGATGGACAAACTTTTGGAACCATTATTAGGATATATCAAATTGTTCGCCAATTTTTCTACAGCCTCATCATTAATACTGCATCTTCTTAATGACAGATGCCGTAACATACATTTGTTCTCGAGCAGTAAATAATAATTACCTTCTTCGATGAAAGTGTTATCCAAGCAAATATCAGTGATATGCGATAAAGGTAGAAACTTGGAGATTTCGTAAAGGCTGTATCCTTGGAGACCTTTGTTAATTGTAATAGTATTTAAAAAATTGTAATAGTGAATCATCAGGTTTATGATCTTAAAAATAAGTCTTGGGATCTCTCTGTTGTTTTGGAATATCAGTTGAACGAGGTGATCTGCGGTGTCATATACGGCAGTGATATGGATGTCGCAGGCGTGTTTGAGGGCATGTGGATTTTGGAAGACATCTTGATCGTCTTGCTGAGTACCTAAACTATGCTCTATCTTGAAAGTTTTCGATTTAGCTTTTGGTTTATGTCGGTCTGGATGCCCTGCAACGCTCACGTAATCCGCTGGAAGCAATAAAAGCAAACTAAATGGAAAAGTTGAATTGCACCGAAACTATAATTAGTAATTGTTGTTTGTATCAAACTATAAATTTAAGTTGTAAATTTAATTCAGTTAATATCCGCTTATGCATATATGTGCTGTTATCACTATTAAAGAATCAAATTGCGACTGCGCAAATAAATACATTCTACTTAGACGTACAATGATGTACATTTTGGCATGATTCTCTATACTTGAAACTAAATTTAACATCAGGCTTTCCCTTCCATTTTTTATAGAAAACAACAAGGACACAAAGTAAAATTTAATTTAAGGTTTAGAATCTTGCCAGAATCGACACCAATAAATTGGTAATTTTACCTACTTGTTAGACTGGAAGAAAAAGAAATATTCATTACTTAGATTCTTACTTTACTGCACGAACACAAGTAGTCTACCAACGGGCCAGAGTAGTTTAGGAAACTATTTACCATTATTTACAAAAATAAAACCCACCGGGATACGGCGCGGCGTTAAGATAGATCTGACAAAAACTATATGACCAATATTGTACGTACTTAATAGTTTGAGTTCTTCCATGCTTAGGAATGCCGTGTGGAAAACCTTATGTCTGTCTGTATGTTAATCTGATCATGATGATAATTGAAGTTTTACGTTATCTATATACAGGGTGGTCAAAAAGTCGTGGATCAAACGAAAAATGGAGATAAAGAAGGTTATTTCCAACAAAAAATCTTTCTACAGCATGGCTATAACTTCATTGCATGAAAAGTTATGAATATTTTTGTTTTTTTCAATGAATCTACCGAGATTTTTTACAATTTAATCAATAAAAAAATTAAAATTGATTAAACACAATAATACAAAAGGTGTTATATTATGACCGGATTATGTATCAATACTACAAAAATTGTATTGGAGCTCTCGGTACCAAATTTAACGAGCAATGAATTTTTTTTTCGTAAATTTTGATGCGTTACAAAGAATTACTTCTCACTTTAACTTCTTCTCACAATCAGCATTAAATCAGCAAGTTTTTTGAATACAGGGTCACTTTTCTGTAATACATTTTTTTTTCACATTTGCTCCTGAAGTGAGAAGTAATTCTTTGTCACGCTTCAAAATTTACAAAAAAAAATTCATTGCTCGTTAAATTTGGTACTGAGGGCTCCAATACAATTTTTGTAGTATTGATACATAATCCGGTCATATTAAAACTCCTTTTGTTTTATTGTGTTTAATCAATTTATTTTTTTATTGATTAAATTGTAAAAAAACTCGGTAGATTCATAGAAAAAACAAAATTATTCATAACTTTTCGTGCAGTGAAGTTATGGCCATGCTGTAGAAATATTTTTGTTGGAAATAACATTTTTTATCTCCATGTTTCGTTTGATCCACGACTTTTTGACCACCCTGTATATAAAACTCAAAGGTGACTGACTGACTGACATAGTGATCTATCAACGCACAGCCCAAACCACTGGACGGATCGGGCTGAAATTTGGGGCATGCAGGTAGATGTTATGACGTAGGCATTTGCTAAGAAAGGATTTTGATCCATTCTACCCCCAAGGGGATAAAATAGGGAATGAAAGTTTGTATGAAACTTTGTCAATTTTAAACCGATCGGTCTGAGACTTTGCATGCAGGTATAAGAAGAATCATAGATGAATGTCATTGTGTATAATAGAAGCCTGAGAACAAAAACTGTAGTCTACACTTCAGCTCTACACCGAAGCGAAGCTAGGGCGGGCCGCTAGTATATTATAACTTCCTTGAGTTTTACTTACTCTGAATGATTTTCTTTACTGTCAGCATATTTTCGTCAACCTGCAGTTGCCTATAAGCCCATGGCAGAAACAAGTCGAAGTCCATGTAATTCGGTGGCTTAGTCCGCTGTTGATCTTCGGGTTTTTTCAAAATTGTTTCCATTATGGTAATGCAAATATGAAATAAATAAATAACTTTGTAGCAAGAAAACTGAAAACATGTATAAAGCTGTCGCAAAAGTTATTTTGTCAAGTGTGACATTGTCAGCATTTTGTCAAGGAATTTTCATAGTCTTTGAATGTTGAGTTCAGAGATGTTATTTTAATTTTTAGATTTAATTTTAACGTGGTCTGAGTTGATCTTTGCGATAGCAATAGAGTTTTAATGTAAATGGTAAGGTGAGTAGATTGTAGGTTATAATTCCCAAAGAAATCATCAGCAAGGCGATTTGGCATGTGGCCATTAGATGATTTCTTATTTTTTAAGTATATCAGAATAAATTCAAGAAGACGGTATAGTAAGACAGTAAAAGAATAAAGGTAGGTACACCAGTATAAAATCCATTGAAAATTTGTTCATTACTACACTACACTTGCCAACATTTACAGGAGAGGTTATTTTTAAGTTTTATTTATATATTCAGTTGACTAAAGAATAGTTGTGAGTAAGTGTATGTAGGTAATACAAAACCTAGTACCTATAGACTAAAGAAGTTATTCCGTGATGTAGAGACTGCAAAGACAAACATAGAATGAGCCTATTACTCTTTGGGGATGTTTAACCGCTGCTCCCCAGTGTTGGAAGGCCAAAGGGGAAGATCTTCCTCCGAGCTGGGTGATGGTAGCTCGGGGGCCGCGGCCCGACTGATGTTGGTCGGGCATCGTATATATGAAGAGTTAGCCTCCGAATTTCATTTGCGCGATCTAGGCTTCCATACTAATATTGATCGCAGTGCAGGTAACGCCATCTCTTGAGGATGGTGAGTAATGATTTCCTACATCCGTTGTATATATGTGGGGCATATAGATGTCGCCGCCACGTCACTCCCCTCCGAGACCGGAGGTCGATGGTCAGTATTTTTCAGCAGTCAGTGCGTCAGTCGAGCTTGCAAGTGCCAGTGTGCTGCAGGATGCCCCAGTCTGCGGTGAGTCGAGACGGGTGGGGTGAAGGCGCGTCGCCAGTGCTGCAGAGTTGCTCCAGTCTACGGTGAGTCGAGACAGGTGGAGTGTGACGGTGGGTCCGAGCTGCTGGTGTGCAGGGCTGCCACGCCGGTGTGCTTGCGGCCGACAAGTGAGGTACCGGTCGTGGGCTGCGGAGACCAGGTCGGGATGATGCCGTCGAGTGCTGGCGAAGGTCCAGGAAGCGTTGTTGAGAGCTGCGATGGAACCTTGAGGCTGATGCTGGCTTGCTGTGTGACTGCTGATGTTGCTTGACCTGATGAGGAAGGGGTATGAGGATTGATGGCTGCGCTGCGATGATTGAAGGTTGCTTCTTGCTGCTGCTGTGCTCAGTCGAGGGTCACCAATTTGGGGATGTTTAACCGCTGCTCCCCACTAGCGGAATAGAGAAATTAAACGGCGATACATCAACTTAACAGCGCTTTATTTGGAAAATATTCACAATTATAAAATACAATTTGTACGGACGAAATTATTATCTCTGAAGTCTACTTTTAGAAAGACAATTAAAAATTCAACAGAAAATATCAAAAAGAACATAACTATAAAACTTAATTTCTAATGTGCCAGTGCCTACGGAATGTCCATAGACACTGGCTGTATGGCGACATGGACCAACTTTTAAGCGGTGCAAAGTCGCCACATCTTCATTAAGTATAATGTCCAAGTTGGTAGTAAAATAATAAGTATAATACTTATGTATTTTTTGACAAGATTGGAAAGTAATTGAAACTGACATTCCTACTGTTACTGCTGGGGAAAGAATTGGATGAAGCCTGAATATATAATGTAGGCTCATATGATATGAAACTGGATATGATGTTTCTACTGAGAAGGTAATGTGCCTACATTTCGCTTGAACATCCCCCCGAAGTAAGTAAACAAGACGAAGACACCCAACGAAATTGCCCTGCGCGTTCTCATATTAACGTAACGCAGCTGAGAATTATACGTAATTATGTAAATAAGCGAACGATGAAGTAGCGAGTTATCAACCAGCCCCCCCCCCCCTTCAGCCTCCGTGTTTCGCCTCTTCAACCCCCCCCCCCCCCCTCTCCTAAACGCCCCGCGAAAACTACCAGCGATATTATAACTTCGAGTACTTGCGGGTGTGTTGTGTGGAGATAGACTTAGTTGTGGCAAGTTTTTTTTTTAAAGTGGTAAAGAGCCGTGTGGTCTGCCGTTCTGCTGAAAGGCTGAAATTCTTACTCGATATCAGAAACAAGACTTAAGCAAAAGTTGTGTTATTTAACTGTGGTCGTCCGTAAAGACGCGATTGCTTCATCAAACAGGAACTGACTTTTTACTACGTCAAAATTGCTTTGCTTTTGAGAGAGAGAGAGAACCATTTTATTGAACAATAAAAACACACAAACATATAATTATAAACAGCTGAAGTAAAAACATGTAAGCATGACAAACATTGATAAACCTAAGTTATAATATAATGTTGGTTAATATCCTGGACTGGGTGGTAGAGAATAGTTTCATCTTCACTGCTTAGAGTGATTGGATGAAACATCCCTACCTAGGAGGAGTATTGGCTTATAGTCTGCAACAATAATAAATAATGCTTAGAATCTTAGGTTGAGCTATACTTTTTTCAGCTGCACCCGTAATCTTTTTCATCATCATCATCACATCATCAACAGCCTATCTTAGTCCACTGCTGGATATAGGCCTCTCTAAATGCACGCCACTCAGATCGATCTTGGGCTACTCGCATCCAGCTCCTGCCAGCCACCTTGCGCAAATCGTCACTCCATCGCGCCTGAGGACGTCCTACACTAAGTTTGCCTAGACGCGGTCTCCACTCCAGAACTCGTCTACCCCAACGGTTATCGGTTCTTCGACAAATGCCACAGCCCAGTGCCACTTCAACTTGCTAATCCGATGGGCTATGTCGATAACTCTGGTTCTCTGTCGGATTACCTCATTTCTGATGCGATCCTTCGGAGAAACGCCGAGCATAGCCCTTTCCATAGCGCGCTGACCGACTTTGAACCTGTGGACCAGCCGTACCGTCAGTGTCCACCTCTCGGCTACGTATGTCGTAATATTTTTACTATCCACAAAATTTTATTTATTTATTTATTTATTTATTTAATCTTTAATGCCTTTACATTGCATTTGGCGGACTTAATGCCAGCATGGCATTCTCTACCAGTCAACCGGAAAGAACGTGCAGAGTCAATAAAACGGCGGACAATCATAGGAAAGAGCAAACATCAAACAATGAAAAACAAAATTAAATAGCGCTTAATACATACACATATACATACATAGAAACATAAATATACATACATATATACATAATATACCTATAATATAGTGTCCGATATTTGTTTATTAACATTTACGTGCTGCTACTTCGTTGCTATTTTTATGCTTTACTATAAAACCCTATCAAATATTTCTATCATATTCTTCTTTCTTTAAATTTCAACATTTGATAAAAATCTTAATAATAGTAATATTTATTTGCATATAACACGGGACATTTGCGTTCTTAAATTATTTCAGTTCGTACATACGTGCTTACCGACGTATCTGTCGATAAGCAAACTTTCAATCTCATCATATAAATTAAATATACTTAATTTAAATCCTCCCTACATTAAAACAGTTTGCATAAAATAATAATACCAGCTACTACAGATCCATATTTAAGTATCAATATAACAACAAACATGTTACATGAAGCCACCTCCATATTTTCCCGTCGAAACAGTGTTCCCGCTAAGAAGTGTTCGGCGCCATCTTGGATCTCATCTCGCCCTCGCACGTTACTTACGTGCCGCGAGATAATGTATTAAAATACTGGATACCTTCACATGAGTGCCTGCCTCTGTATACGCTCAACGCGATCACATACTGATGTACTCCTAGCACGAACCATTATCGAATTCGAATAGTTTGCGAGTGCGAAATGTCGATATCAAATTTTGTATGGAAACTTGAACAGCAGCGCCACAAAGTACGTAACGACTCGGACTCGCAAACGTTACGAATTCGATATTGGTTTGTGCTAAGGGTACTGAAGGCAAACAATTAGTTATGAGGATGTTTAGGAAAATTTACTTATTGAGTGACACCAACTGGTGGGCAATGTTACATGAGGTCTTTTGTGTGAATTTTTTACCGCGTTTTATTTTATTCTGTGGCTGTTTCCGTTTTACACTGAAATTTCGCCAATATACCGTAGTGAGGGGGACACGATATGAGAGAGGTTGCTCGGTATTTATACAAGCGCGAATTCATTGAACGGGCATTTAAAATGATCCATAGACTGTGCCGACATATATGTGAATTGACGGTTTAGTAGACCTTTCGTCTCAATGCTTACACCTGGCGCCCAACATTCCAGAAAACTGACATTCTCTGCATTCTACCAATTGGATGGAAAAAAAGGATCGTCCGTACGCTGTACGATAAACGCACCGCTTCGGCACCGCAGCAGGTCGTCAAGAAACGCATAAATTGAAAGCGCCCTTAGCCTAGCTTCAAAGTAAGCACTGTAAGGCTTGTGATATACGAAACTAGTGCAACGGATAGAATACATATACTGTGCATATATAAGTATATTCACATATAATATATATTAAACATCCATAACTGGAGTACCAATGCTCGTATTCAGGATTCGAACAAACCAAAATAAACCTCACTTCTAAAGGAAAATTTATTAGACAAAGTTCCACGTAGACCAGACAGCAAACGGGACTCGAACCAGACCGCACCCTTCGCTATCCGGGAGAATGCACTGACCATTATGCTACCGCGGCCCTGACAGCCGTGTCGAATTTTCTATAGCCTTTCTTAAGCTGCAAGGCAGCGCCATCTTTCCGCATTGTAGGTAACCCACAGTCTGCTGTGCATGCTGCTGCATTATTGAAGAAATTTAATCCATCCTTGAATATCTAATGGGTCCCGACTGTTAAAGTAGCTTTGTTTCTCACGTAACAGAATTATTGACTACTGGATTTGTTTTTTTCTTTTCAGTTTTTATTTGAAGTAAGTAATAAAATTTAAGCAGTCGGGTTTTTTTATTTTTTAAATTTACCCTTTTTTTATTATTATTATTAATAATATTTATTTCATGTCAAAAATAACAATTATAGAGCTACGTCATA